CCCACGGTCCGAGTCCTCGCAAACCACGTAAACCTACCACCGCGGTCGAGTGTTTTCGTACTTGTCGGGATCGATGAAGCTTCCTGTGGCGAAGTTCTTCTCGAGGGAAGCCTCCAATTGCTCCTGGGAAGAGGCATAGGCGTCGCAAGGGGAGTAGCTGAACTTCAGGATGGGCGGACTGTGGCCCTCGTGACGAACTTCCGATACGAAACGCAACACCTCACGAAAGGTGCAGCCGTGGGCCACGTCGAGAAACTCCGAAACCCCGCCGAAATCACCGCGATTGCTGACGAATCCTCGCCGCCCCAGCAAGACAGTACGTCGCCAGCGCCACTCGACATTGACCCTAAGCTTCCGGACCCTAAACGGCGTCAGCTGGTTAACCTCCTCGCCGAATACCGCGATTGCTTTGCGACGTCATCGAAGGTGCGCTGGACCGCGGTTGCCAAGCACCGCATCGTTACCGAGGACGACGCGCGCCCTGTGCATCGATCGCCGTACAGAGTCTCCGCTAAGGAAAGGGAGGTGATCCATCAGCAAGTTCAAGAGATGCTGAATGACGACATAATTCAACCGTCAAGCAGTCCATGGGCCTCTCCAGTCGTGCTGGTTAAGAAAAAGGACGGAACTCTTCGGTTCTGCGTGGACTACCGGCAGCTCAACACGGTTACGAAGAAAGACGTCTACCCACTCCCCCGCATCCACGACACTCTTGACCGGCTGCGCCACTCTTGATACTTTTCATCGATGGACTTGAAGAGCGGCTACTGGCAAATCGAGGTCGACGAACGGGACCGAGAGAAGACAGCCTTCGTCACGCCGGATGGACTGTACGAGTTCAAGGTGATGCCCTTCGGACTATGCACGGCGCCAGCAACTTTCCAGCGTGTCATGGACACCGTACTGGCAGGGCTGAAGTGGCAGAGTTGTCTCGTCTACCTTGACGACGTCGTAGTATTTTCAGCTGACTTCGACGAGCACTTGAGACGACTCCGAGCTGTTCTTCAAGCCATTCAGACCGCCGGACTCACACTCAAGCCGTCAAAATGCCGGTTCGCCTATGACGAACTGAAGTTCCTTGGCCACGTCGTTAGTAACGAAGGCGTCCGCCCAGACCCCGAAAAGACTCGCGCCGTCGCGGCATTTCCAGTGCCGACAGATAAGAAGGCCGTGCGAAGATTCCTTGGACTTTGTGCCTATTATCGACGCTTCGTTCGGGATTTCGCAAGGATTTCCGCACCACTTACGAATCTCACGAAAGACGCCGAGAAGTTCGAATGGGCCGAGGAGCAACAGCAGGCATTCGACGAACTGAAACGACGACTCCAGACTCCTCCTGTACTTGGACATTTCGACCAGGATGCGGAAACAGAAATTCACACGGACGCAAGTAACATGGGACTGGGCGCAGTACTAGTCCAAGTGCAAGAAGGCACCGAGCGAGTCATCGCCTACGCAAGTCGGACATTGTCCAAGGCGGAGAAAAATTACTCCACGACTGAGAAAGAATGCCTTGCGGTCGTCTGGGCAATAACGAAGTTTCGTCCCTACTTGTACGGGATCCCGTTCCGTGTAGTCACGGACCACCACTCGCTCTGCTGGCTTGCGAACCTGAAGGACCCGTCAGGACGCCTCGCTCGATGGAGTCTTCGACTACAGGAGTTCAACATGACAGTGGTCTATAAGTCAGGCCGCAAGCACAGCGACGCCGACTGCCTGTCCAGAGCCCCCGTCGAAACACCTTCCGGCTGCAGCGACGACAATGACGACGAGTGCTTCCTAGGAGCAGTGAACACCGACGATATGGCACGACGTCAACGGGACGATCCTGAGCTGCGCGTATTAATCGAGCACCTGGAAGGGGGCAGGAGTACCGTGCCACGTGTCTTCTCACGAGTACTGCCGACCTTCGTCATCCGACAAGGTGTACTCTACAAAGAGAACTTCGGCGACAACAACACACCGTGGTTGCTGGTAATCCCGAATGACCTTCGAGAGGAGATCTTCCAAGCTTGCCACGACGACCCGACATCCGGACACCTTGGTTACAGGCGGACACTGGCCCGTATTCGTGAAAAGTATTACTGGCCGAAGCTTCCCAAGACCGTCCACCTATACACACGATCATGCCACGAGTGCCAGCGACGCAAGAAACCGCCGACGAGGCCGGCCGGACTCCTGCAGCCTATTTCTCCTCCAACTGCACCCTTCCAGCAGATCGGAATGGATCTACTTGGTCCTTTTCCGCCTTCGACGTCGGGGAACCGCTGGATCATCGTCGCCACAGATTATCTCAAACGGTACGCCGAAACGAAAGCTCTTCCTTCGGGGACTGCTGTGGAAGTTGCCAAGTTTTTCATTGAGTCCATCGTCCTCCGGCACGGCGCTCCAGAAGTTGTGATTACAGATCGCGGATCATCGTTCATGGCACAACTGACCCAAGAAATCCTCCGACTCAGTCATACCAGCCATCGTCGTACAACTGCGTACCACCCGCAGACCAACGGGCTGACGGAGCGACTCAACAAGACAATCGCCGATATGATCTCTATGTACGTCGACGTAGAGCACAAGACGTGGGACGAGGTGCTGCCCTACGTCACGTTCGCCTACAATACGGCGGTTCAAGAGACCACTGGATTCACCCCTTTCCAGCTGGTACATGGTCGGAAGGTAACGACCATGCTGGACGCCATGCTGCCCCATGAGCCATCTGACAACGAGAGCGACGACGCCCAGGCGGTTGCTCAACGCGCCGAAGAAGTTCGCCAGCTCGCCCGACTCCTGATTCAAGACCAGCAACGCGTCGACGCCGGCCGCTACAACCTTCGTCGCAGGGACGTCCACTTCCAGCCCGGAGATAGGGTGTGGGTATGGACGCCCATCCGTCGCCGCGGCCTCAGTGAGAAATTGCTGAAGCGCTACTTTGGGCCCTACAAGATCATCCGACGCCTCGGCGATCTGAACTACGAAGTTCTACCCGACGGAACGCGCCCATCTGCAAGACGTCAGCCGCGACCCGAGGTGGTGCATGTCGTCCGGCTGAAGCCGTATTACGAACGATAGGACTCTCCACTCTCGTCGACGAGTGAACTGTGGACTGTGAACTCCGGCTAGCAATTCTGCTGTCCTTTTGTTTTTTTTGTTTTTTTTGTTTTCCGTTTTTGTGCTGCATCGGGACGATGCACTTTTAAAGGGGGGGATAATGCCGCGCGCAGGGCTGAGAAAGCAACGCTCGGTCACGGACCCCCAGAAAGTTCTCGTCTATTCATGTACCGCACGTAACTTCTATCATTTATTCCTGCTTTTGTTTTCTAGAAAGTGCGTGTTCATTCTCGCCCGATCACGCGACGCTCGAGCCGCTTTCGCCGAATCTTCGAGATAGTGACACACTCTAGATAAGAGGCCGCCCGCTACCTTGTCGAGTCAGTTTCGCCCCAGCGTTCGACTCTGCTGCTACGCCGACTTCGACGCCCGCGACGCTCTGTTATTATCTTTTATACCCTTTTATTTTTGGCACAAGTTCGCCACATTAAACGTTTATTTATCCCTGTTTATTTCTTGTTTATTGGTCACCACTCGTGACAGTATAACAAGGTTTATCGCTGAACACGTCAGTCGAACTCTACAGCTGCGAATGACCTTGACCCAGAGAACACAATAATGTTCGTTAATTGAACCTTCTACAATCGTGTACAGGCCGAATGTAAACACGGAGGTTGCCAACGCAGGAAGGCGCAGAACCCATTGTCAACTTCGGACATTGGAAGCAGAGAAAAAAAAAGAGAGAAGGGAATTCTACATTCGCTATAATAATAATAATAATAATAATCTTTATTTGCAAGAGCAATGTAACCCCGGGTGGCTTGCGAGGCGATGACAGAAAGGCGAGAGCCCGTACACTAGAGTGCCTGTCAGCCAACCACCCGGGGCATGAAATAACAAAACAAACAACAATAACAGAGAACGAATAAAAACAAAATGAAACCGAACAATGATCATGGCGTAGAATCAGTTTAGGTGCTTTGACCGCGAAAATGCACGGCGCAAGGCAGCGGACTCGTCACGGTTGTTGGGGAGTGGAGATCGAATCGACAGGGGGGCCGCAAGAAAGTCTCTGAGGGCGGCAAGGAGTACGGAGTGCGAGTGGCGCACTGTTCGGGCGTGCAGGAGTTCTGGCTGCCCGGATCGCTTCCCGATCCTGATGCATGAGTGGAGGTGGGTATCACTCATGGACCCGTCGAGCAACCTTCAAAGGAGCCCAACCCGAGCCACTGTCCGGCGGTGGCAGAGGCTTTGCCACCCAAGGGCCCTAAGGCGAGCTTCATATGGCGGCACAGGAACTTGCCGGCCCAACATCCGAGTATGAAGTGTTCGAGTAGCCCGGCGCTGCACGCCCTCCAGCCTGTCGATGAGGTGAGCCTGGAAGGGTCCCCACACGGAGCAGCAGTATTCCAGACGAGGCAGGACTAAGGCAGTGTAGAGAGCGCGGAAAGTTTCATGTCCCCAGTTCCTTGAGACACGTGTGACAAAGCCAAGAGTCCGCCGGGCCCTGGACACAGTGTCTGCAATCTGAGGTGAGAAGTCCAGAGTTGAACTGAACACAACCCCAAGGATTGGGAGAGACTGAACACTAGGAATGGGAGAGCCTGACAAGTAGTATGCAGGAGGAACGGTGGAACGGCTGTTGGAGACTCGCATTGCAGCACTTTTGTGGAAGCTAATTGAGAGGCAGTTCGTTCTTGCCCAGCAGTCAATCTGGTCCAGGAGACTCTGGACACCCGGAGTGGAGGAGGGTACGTCTGCTGGGGCCAGAATGGTGGTGTCGTCTGCATATTGCACCAGCAGACACTCTTGCGATGAAGGCATGTCGTTCACATACAAGAGGAATAATGTGGGCCCCAGTACTGAGCCTTGGGGTACCCCTGAGGTGACAGCGAACTCATCGGAGGCCTTCCCATGGAACAATACACGGTGGGAGCGACCGATAAGAAAGCGGCTCAGCCAGAGCAGCAGGGGGCCACGAATACCGGATTGTGCAATTTTCTGGAGGAGGATAGAGTGGTCAAGGGAATCAAAGGCGTTGCACAGGTCTAGTTGAATGATATCAGTTGGGGAACGGTTATCCAGGTTATTGCTTATGTGGTGAACAATAGTAGCGAGAGCTGACTCACAGCTTTGGTTGGGCCTAAAACCATGCTGGGAGGCAGAAAGAAGGCCGTTGTTGTCCAGAAAGCGAAGAAGGTGCTGGTTGATGGTGCGTTCGAAAGTGCGGCAGAGGATAGAAGTAATAGAGATGGGCCTGTAGCTGGAAGGGTCGTTGAGAGGTTTCCCTTTACCCTTGTGAACTGGTGTCACAAGGGCCTTCTTCCACGCGGAGGGCACGTAGGAGTGGTCGAGAAAGGATTGGAAAAGTGAGAGCAAGGAGAAAGATAGGTAAGGGAATAGGGACTTGATGAAAGTAGGGGCGAGCAGGTCAGGCCCAGCACAGTGGGAGGGCCGGATCAGTCGGGCAGCTTCATGCAGGTCGTCGAGGGACAAGCACAAATTTGGAAGGCAGGTTACAGGTTGGGAGGTGGAAGCTTCGATAGTCTGCACAAGAAGGTCGGGATCTGGAGTAGAGGAGTTGTGGCTGAAAGCAGAGGAGAACTGTGAAGCGAAGAGTTGGGCTACGTCCCTGGGGGACGTGATGGGGTGATGGTCTCTGGAGAAACAGGGACGCTGTCGGCTAGACTGAAGCCCATTGAAATACTGCCAGAACAGCTTAGGGTCCTTTTTTGCCTTCATAGAGATGGTGTGGGCGTAAGCACTGTGAGCACGAGAGATGGCAGACTTGATTGAGCGCTGCAAATCTTTAGCACTCTGAAGTGAAATCTGGCACTGTGTACGAGCGGCACGTTTGAAGAGGGCTCGTTTCTGGCCAGCCATTTTCTTGATTTCGGGGGTGATCCAAGGGGACCTCTTCCTTCGCGTGGAACTACGCGAGCAGGGCACGCATTCTTTCTGGATGGCGCCAACAAAGTCGCACCAGAGTTCGTAGTTGTCAGCGCAATCGTCCCCAGTGGTAAGACACCAGGGTGCAAGATGGGCTAACTTAGCCATATGGGCATGGTCGGTCCTATAAAAGTTCCACAGAGTCCGTGCAAACCGGCCTTTCCGAGGGAGACAAGTGGCATACACAACCTCTATTGCTTGGTGGTCGCTCCCGGACAGGCCAGGATACACGTCACAGGAGAGCATCCGAGTGATGTCTGTGGTAAAAACCAGATCGAGAAATGATGAGGCACGGCCCTGCGCAAGCTGGGCTTGGTAGGTGGCAGAGCGGCACACCTGTTGGAGGCCCACATCAGATGTGACGTCGAGGAGAACAACACAGCCGTTCCTTGGATCGCGTCAGTAGAACGAGTGTTCAGCGTCGCCGCTGGTGAATTCTCAATAAAGCGGGAAAACATAACTAACAAAAACTTTTAGAGGCAGCTACTACATAAGTGCAACGACAACTGAAAAGAAAACAATAAACCAGAAACAAAAACAGCTGTGTATTTGGTCGTCAAGTAACGGGAAAAGGGACTCGCTACTTTTGAGGCAAAGTAACGGGTTCCTTTTGAGAATCGGTAACGAGTAACGTATTTAGTTACTTTATGAACGGGTAACGAGTGGCGGTATTTAGTTACTTTTTGGGGAGTAACGTGTATATGTCTGCTTTAAACCCAACTGTCTAAGCGCAAAGCAGAAGTGTTATTGAAGCGTTTAATGTTGCCGCCACTCAACTTTTCTGACTCTGAGCTACATCTGGCTCTCAGTTGTTGAGCGCGCGTCCCCCGCGCTCAACAACTTTCCAGTCCGCATATTTCCAAATACGTGCTGCCACCTGGACGCTCCTCTGGGTTTGAGATTGAGTGGCTAGAAAACCACGCCCTCGCAAGGCCTCCCCTACCCGCTCGACACGCAAAACGTCCGCTAGATCTTGTTGACCATTGAGACGCTTTTACCTAGATACGGCTTCCCCTAACTTCGCTTTTCCCCCCATGTGGATTATCTTCCTACGTGAAGTTGATACAAAGCGGTCATACTTCTCCTCTAAGAGAGCAGGAAGAAAAGGAAAGAGTGAAGGGGCAAACAGAGAAGGCGCGCAGAGATTCGCTACACGAGTTCAAGCGCAGATTGACCGTTCCCCCCCCCCCCCCCCCCCCCTTCCCCCCGCCCTTTAGAATGAAACATTTTGATTTCGGGAGTATGACTAATATTATTGCACGGGCAGTCCGGTTCTTTGTCACTGCGCTTTCTCCTTCGTTGTGGACAAGCAAGCTGACGAGTTGCCAGATGCAAACCACCAAGCCACGAAAAAAATATATTTAAGGTGAAGTTTTAGATGACGTGAAGTAATTCTTGGAACCTCTGAAGAATGCTATACCTTGCGTTTTGTAATTGCAGGTGACAGTGCAATTCCGGTGGAACTTGCCTTTTAAAAAAAGAAAAATGTGAGTTTAGTTTTGTCATTGCTTAAAATTCCTGCTTTCTTCCACCCTGACTGAAAAATAAAATGTAACAAACTAAATAATTTTCTTAAGTAAAAAAGTGAGGAAATAGCTTTACAATTCGTTTTTTTAAATATCAACTTATTCCGCTACAAAATTGCTGATAACTGTAAAGGATTACAAGTAATTTAGTTACTTGAAACGGGGTACGTACAAGTCTGCATCTGAGTCTCTACAAAGTAAGAAAAAAAAAAAAGCAAACCAGTTGCACTGAAAAAAAAAATCGTGTTGCTTGTGTACGTTTTGATATCCTTGATGCTAGTTTGCCTCACCGGGTGACTTGTCTCCTATCTGTAGATGAGAAATTTAGTCAGTGCAGTACAGCCGCTACCCAGGGGTCTTTAACGTGCACCACGCAGTAGTGATTACACGAACGCGTGCGGCTACGAGACTCATTCAGATCGAAACGAGCAGGGGGTGGGGTTGAACCCAGAAGTTTCTGCAGCACAAGCTTTCGCTCCACGCTCCGAGTTGAGTTACACTCAAACTCGGCTGAGCTCCGAATCGCGTAAGTTTCACTTTTGGGCGCAGAGCCCAGTGCAAGCACGACCCATTTTTATATCCGTGCCAACCACACTTACTCACTCTCTCCCTCCATTCATTCACGCACCACTCGCCCATTAACTCAAAGAAAGAAAAAAAGAGAAAACACGGAGGGGGAGGGGGGTTCGAAGGGGAGAGTAGAAGCAGTTACGGAATCTCATCCTCGTTTGTGATCCCTTCGAGAGGGGACCGTCGTTACTCGGCAAAAGTCACGGCCATCCCCCGAGGCCGAACCCCACCCACGGTCCGCGGGGGTTCACCCTCTCGCATCCTCCTCCGATTGGCGCCTATAAATTTTTTTCCCCTGGCGATCGCGCAGGCGATGGCGGCCGGAGACTCCCACTAAGCAAAGAACAGCTGCCGCAGCGGCGCTCCAGGCAAGCTCGCCTGCCCCAAGATATATAACACGCATCGGCTTCCTGCCGTGTCCCGATAAGGCCGACCCTCGGCTAGGACCCGCCACAAAGCCCGCGGCGGCACGCGGCGTTTCGCTCTTTTGTCAATCTGAGAGCCGCCTCGGCAGGCCCGCCACCCCGCGGGAACGTGGCGGGAAACCCTTCGCCAGAATATTTAAGATATACACAGAGTATGTCCCCCCCCCCCCCCCCCCCCCAAAAAAAAAAAAAAAAAAAAAAAAGACGTAGTGTTTTTTTCTTCGTTTTATTCACCGCAAAAATAATTTACTCATCGCCGAACGCGCATTCTCCGCCCAAATGTAGCGGCAGCGGTCCGAACCCAATGCCAAAGTTTCAGAACCGTTATCTTATTCAAAGGTTCCATATAGACAGACCCGCTGTTTACGAACAAGCCCCGGTTTGCCCACACCGGGTGTGGGCACTGAGCACGCGCAAAAACCGAATTCGCGTGACGTGAGCGTCTGCGCATGCGCAGTGGCATCGACAGCGCCACCGCAGCTACGCGACTTCAGGGCCGCGTGTTGGTCTCTAAGTTATCTTTTGAAAGTTTTCAATGGGAAATCTTGCCCTTTCTTGGTAACTGGAGTCATTCGCGAGGGCTCCGTCGGCCACCATTTTTTCCTTAGGAATCTAAGATAATCACGTATAACTTCTGAATAAGACAACGGTTTCTTCTGGAATTTTGGGCGGAGAATGAGCGTTCGGCGATACGCAGTTTATTTTGACGTCGCAACGTCTCACCAGAAGGCCTCGTTATCTGTGGTGAGGTTGAGAGGCAGAACGCTGCAAATCCTGAACCCTGACATCGGTGATCCTACGGAGTGGCCATTGGGCACGCGCAGTGGCCATTGGGCACGCGCAGTGGCCATTGGGCACGCGCAGTGGCCATTGGGTACTATCCAAAACCCAAGATATGGCGCGGGTTATTAACGCTGTGTCGTAGCTGTCTGCATGTCATCTAGAGATATCAGGATGTATCGGTACGTCACTTGTGGGAACCATTGGGTTCCCTCTATCCCTATCTAGGCCTAGCTTCAAGCAGGCCGTGGGAGTCGTCGTCACCAATGGCGTCGGCCTCCCGGATACAAGGAACCACGAGGCCGAATTCCCCGAAGGGGCCTGTTCTCCCTTGCCCTTTTGGGTGAACGCGCCATCGGCACACCCTTGGGAGTGGTTATGGGCGCGTCCCGTTTTCGAGTGACCTTCTACCGGCCTCCCCGGGCGCGTCTATTTCCCGCAGGCTACATAAGCCGGCCACCCACCTGTGGCCGGGGCTCTTGGTTAGGGGGGGCTACGCTCGACGGAGTATTCATCGTTATTTTACTGCTCCCCCTTTTCCGTGATCCTGCCAGTTACGGCAGCGCGCACCCTTCTCCTGGTGATCCTGTCAATTAAGGCAGCGCCAACCTCATTTCTCTTTTGTTCCGCCTCCGGGCGCAAAGCGTGTGGCGTAAGGCCAATAAACACGTTTCTACGGTATCCCTGTGTTTGGTGTGGTCTCCCGTCCACCGGAGCCTAGCGGCAACCAACGGACGGACCCGGCCGTAGCCGACATAGCAGCGGACTACGGAGGGGGTTTTGCCTCACAGCGATCAGCAAGGTAAGTCGAAACCCACCTTTTGCAACCGACGAGTTACGGAGTGGGTATTTGCCTCACTGAGGACTTTGGGGTAAACTAGAATCCCACAACTGGCGCCCGTCCGGCGTCTGCAAACAAAGCAGCACGTTCGCAATGACAGCGAACCAGGCCAATTTCCGGCCTTGGACTTCGTGGACGGAGGGAGAGGCGAACGCCCGAAACCCGACGCCACCCAACGGCTTAGTGGCCACGTCAGCCACGCACGGACACAATGCAGTGTCTTTTGAGTCGAGCTTGCTTCTAAGCGGAGGCGACCCAACATGTCCGGAATTCGCCCGAGGCATCCCCCTCCGCGACGCGCCAGCCCACCCTGCTGAGCAAAGCGCACCTGCACTTGTCGAGGCCACCTCCGCGCTCGCACAAAGCGCGGCGACGCAACAGGCAAATACAGCCTCGTACTGCGATGACCTTCTGACCCCAGACTGGCCTGCAGCTTCCGCACAAACGGAAGACACTGCCGCCGTCTCTGAGCAATGGCCCAGCTCGGCGGCTTTATGCGCAACGGGACACACGGCGGCACGCGGCGGCCCACAGCCAGTGTACAGCTCGCCAGCCGAAAGCGTACCTCATCAAAGAGAAAATGCGCTAAACTCGTACCAGCCACTGCTAGATAACGCAGCACGAGTTATCGAGAGTTTGACGGGAGCGCTGCAAACAGCGACGAGGCCCCCGCCGCCCACGCGGCCACCGGTCAGAATTCCTATCCCGACATACCGAGGATACGGAGACCGAATGAGCGCCACGGACTTCCTCGAGGACCTGAAAAGTTATCAAAAGGCCATGGGAATGTCGGACAACGAGATACTGGAACGCATCCTGCCAATCTCGTTGGTGGACCAAGCAGCGCGATGGTTCCGTCTAACCGGAAACCAGCTGCTGACTATCGAGCAGTTCCGAAAGGCTTTTCGCCAGGAATTCCTCCCCGCTGACTACGAGCGCAGGATGAGGAGAGAGCTCGAGCAACGGACCCAACACCCAGACGAGTCACTGTTGGAGTTCGTAAGGGCGATGCAAGAGCTCTTTGAGCTAGCAGAACCCTCCGCGCCACATGCAGAGCGGGTAGAGCGCGTCATTCGACAGGCGCACCCGACTTTTGCGGCGTATCTCCGAGGCAGTCGCTTCCGCGACCTGAACGAACTAGCCTCGGAAGCTCGGCGGTTCCAGGGAGACATTCTAGCCGCCCGAGCGTACCGACCTCCGCCGCCTGCGTCATCGGCACTTGAGCCGCGCTGCGCATGGAATGGGGAGACGGCGCCCCGAAACAGGAGGCACGAAGCCGCCCACTACGCCGACGGACCGGGTCGAAACACGTACGACATCTCCGATCGTGCGCTCGACCCATACTCTTACGAGAGGCGAACAGCAGAACCCGCGCCGCAGTGGCAAAGGCGAGATCGGAACAGACAGGAGTTACCGACGCCCCGGGAGCAAACGCGGCCAATGCGTCCAAATGCACAGGACGAAAGGTCCGGCGCGCAGCAGAACGTGCGACGCGACTCGAGGAGGGTTGCGCAACCACGCTGCTTTCGCTGCAACAGCGCCGACCACCTGGTTCGACAATGCCCAGAACGGCAGAACCCCGGTTTCCAACAGTCGGGAAACGAGCAAGGCCGCCGATAACCAACCCGGTGGCTCAAAACGGCACGGAGCAAGATACTCTTTTGCCGTCCGCCTACAGAATAGGCTTTCCGTCAGGCACGCCAACGCCATTCATAGCGTTGACGATCGTTGGTCGGACGTTCAAGGCGCTGCTCGACACGGGCGCAAGCGCATCGCTTTTCGGTGACGAAGTGTTGACCCACCTCCGGCAAAAATCTGTCCGAATGAGGGAGGGAAGCACGACCTTTCGACTCGCGTGCGGCACCGCCCATTCAAGCGGTACCGTCCGGTTGGTTGCGAGATGGGAGAATCGAGCAAGACGGCAACGCTTCGTTCATCTCCCCAGTCTTTCCGTTCCGATCATCCTGGGCAGAGATTTTCTCGCCAAAACAGGGATCGTGATCGACGTGAGTAGCGGTGGCTACCGAGAGGGCACTTTCGCTCCTCTGAAACCTTTCTGCGAACCCCCAACCCCAGAAAAACCGCTGGTTAATTAATAGGGCAGGCAGCAGCAGCCGAAACGAGGCAACAGCCTCCCAAGGTCATCCTTCTCCGACGCGGTTGCAAGCGAGCGCCGTAGCGTCGGAGATAACGCACCCACTGCTGACTGAGTCATGCAGCGTGTCAGGGCAAAAAAAAGCCCGTCTGTCGGCATTGTTACGACATTATGACAAGATGTTCACAGATCGACCCGGGTGCACCAATGTAGTGCGACACCGGATCGACACGGGCGATGCACTCCCTCGGAGGCAAAACGCACGACCCGTTAGTTTGGCTAAACGAAAAGCCATTGACGTTGCACTGGACGAAATGATCGACACCGGAGTTGTCCGGCGGTCAAACAGTCCCTGGGGATTCCCCGTCGTGTTGGTCCCAAAGAAGGACGGCACTTCACGTCTGTGCATCGACTATCGCCGTCTAAATGACGTCACGCCGAAAGACGCATATCCGCTACCGAGCATTGACTCGATCCTGTCCAACCTCGGCAGCGCACGGTATTTTACAACCTTAGACGCCAGCCGAGGCTACCTCCAAGTTCAAATGGAGAGGGGTGACGAGGCGAAAACGGCCTTTGTTTGTCACCGCGGGCTTTTCGAATTCACAAGGATGCCCTTCGGTCTGTGCGGAGCGCCCATGACGTTCCAGCGGTTGATCGACCGCATACTGGGAGAAGCCAAATGGAAACATGCAATGGCCTATCTCGACGACATTGTCGTCTACTCGAACACCTTCGAAGATCATCTCAGAGACCTGAAGGATGTGTTCGACCGGCTAAAAGCCGCGGGAATCACGCTGAACCCGGAAAAGGCTCAAATAGCCGAAACCCGAATCAACTTGCTCGGCTTCACACTCGATTGCGGACGCATTGCGCCAAACGCCGAGAAGCTAGAAGCTATCCGGGAGTTCCCCGCACCAACGGACGTAAGCTCACTCCGTCGCTATTTGGGAATGGTGAATTTTTATCGCCAATTCATCCCGAACTGCGCCTCCCTCCAAGCGCCACTAACGCGGCTACTCAGAAAAGCCGTGAGCTGGAGTTGGGGTCCCGAGCAGGAGGGAGCTTTCCGCTGCACTTCGAAAGCACTCGCGGACACCGCGGAACTAAAGCTTCCCGACTTGAACAAGCCTTTCGTGATCCAAACGGACGCGAGCAAACTGGGCTTGGGAGCGGTCCTGCTCCAAGAGCACGAAGGTGTGCTTCGTCCCGTGGCTTTCGCTAGCCGCTCGCTCGTGCCGGCAGAGGTGAACTACAGCACCTGCGAACAAGAGTGCTTGGCGATTGTATTTGCCTTAAAGCGCTTCGACATTTATGTCGACGGGACCACATTCACGATCGAAGCAGATCACCAGAGCCTAATATGGCTGTCAAGACTTCGCGAACCCGCAGGGCGGTTGGCGAGATGGGCTTTGCTACTGCAAAAATACGACTATGTCGTGCGGTACCGGAAAGGCAGTACAAACGTTGTGGCCGACGCACTGTCGCGAGCCCCCATAGACTGCGCAAATCTTTCCGCGGGGAGCCTGGCCGAGCCAACGGCACATGCAATGCCCGGCGAACCCGAAATTCAGTCTCAAAAGGAGGCAGCACCACTGACCTCCTCGGACGAGAGCGTGAACCACGTCGACGCAGTGAGCGCAGTGGGGATCGTGTTCAGCAAAGAAGAGCTACTGAAAGCTCAGCAGAATGATCCGTTTTGTCGAAAGGTGATCGACGGACTCTCGAGTGAAGGGGTGTCCAAACAGGACACTACAAAACCCGCGACTCCGGCAAATCGTTCCGCGCTCTGCCGCGATCCGCTTCCGGCCGTCGGAGGGAAATTTCCCTCCGTCAATTCTTCCCGGGGGGAAACTTCCCTCCGTCAAATCTCCCCCTCGCTTCCTCCACGGCGGCCTTGCTCTGCTCATCACGTGGGTCCGGAGAGCCACTCACACGCTCTGTTGGCTGTCGGTCAATCGCTCAAGGCCTCCGCTCATAATACGGAACCGCATCGGACGCCATCACGACGAAAGTGAATCTCGACAAAGAAAGCAGATCCGAGGCGGGCGAAACGCACCCTTCGACGCGGGAATGTCCCAAATCCACCCAAAGCCGGACCTCCTTGGCCTTCGAGCCGAGACGACGGCGATACG